CCCCAAAACCCCAAAACCCCAAAACCCCTCTTGATGTGTTAATATTGATAAATTTCATTAATTTAAAAAATGAATTTCAGTATATCATCTCTAAGATCGAGGTCCAATATTTCAGAGTGCAGAACAAAAAAAAGATAGAACAGCTCAGGATCAGAGGGGATGAAGACAAAGAAGTTAGGACTAAAGAAATGAAACTCAGAGTAGCTCAAGGCAAAGGTAAGCACTCAAAACTTATGGTTCAGCCAATAAGATCAAAAAATGAAATTGGTTTAATGAAGCAACAGATTAATAACGCATATGATATCAATAATGTCCTGGCTCTTGAGAACGAACTTGCTCATAATAAACAGGTCATCGTAAAACTCCTCGCTCAGAATAAGGGACTCATGAATGTCAAGAAAGGTCAAAGCAAGGCCATGAAGAAACTTATAATGATTCAGATCCACAGAAAAGGCTGGAAATTATTAAGAAGGATATACAAGAAGCTAAGAAATTTTAAGAGAGAAAGAAGATAATATCAGGGAGAAGGAAAAGCAGCTTCAAGAAACCAAACTGATAAATCTAAATATGATAAGGCTTATCGTAAACGTGGTTAGATGAAAGATACAGTAAGTTAAAAATGATGCTCCTGAAGCATAAGCAGGCACGGAAGAAAATCAGGATGATAAAATTATGATTCATTCTCTGGTCTCTCAGAAGCAGAAAGAAGATACTGGGGAAGATCCTGAACAATTTGCAAAGGCTAAATATGCTAAACTTCAAGTAGATTTTGAAAGTATTTTCAGTTGACATACCTTTCCGAGGACATTGAGAAAGCTGAACAAATCCTTCTTGAAACCAGATAAAACTTAGAGATGATAGTCACATCGTTTAGTATAACCAAAGAGTTAAGAAATTTAACAAAATATATCAGAAAAAGAAGGAAAGAAATGAGCTCTAGAGAAGAAAAGTAGAAGGCAAATCGAAAAATAGCAAGACTCAATTGCTCAAAGGAATAGAAGACATCTAAACCATTCTGATAACTTTCCAAACAGGACAACATTATACTTGAGGAGAAAAACCAGGGAATCTAATAGAGATAAGACTTAAGATTTCTATAAAGACCTCACTGAGGATGGAGATGATCCTAGAAAATTGAGAACCCCTGTTTCAGATAAAATAAAATATCCCCTTCTCTCAAGTAAGAAAGGAAGGAATACCTCTGCCAATGGACGATAATTAGGAGCTACTTAGCAGAGAAATTGATCGAAATAAGAGGTCTTTAATGAGCAAGTTTGGGGAGAACGTCTCTACTAAGATGAAAGATATAAATGATACTTCTGATATATCTGATGATATTTGAAGAATTTTCGAAGCCTCATTGAAAATTTATTCTAAAACAAAGAAATTCACTAAATTCAGATTCAGACCTAAAGTTCTAACTGAATTTCAAAAATGGCCAAGTATATACAAAGTCTTTAGAAGGAAACTCTTTTTCTAAAGATAGTAGTTTCATAAAGCAAATGTAGGCTGCTCTTAAGAAGCCAGAGCCACTATAGCAGAGAAGGAGCCAGTTAGTTAAGCTTAATTCTGCTCTGAAGAAGATGTAATTTCGTTCAATTATTTAGTTTATAACAGGGGTTTTGGGGTTTTGGGGTTTTGGGGTTTTGGGG